GCCCACTTGCCCTCCCCACGCAATCTACCCTCACTCCCTAAGCTCTTTTTTTTCCTACCCTCCCTCCATGGCTCTTACTCTGTGTCCGCCGCTCCTGCTGTAGGTTCTTTTTTTTTTTTTTCCCCTTTCAAAACGCTCCCAGCCCCTTCTATTCTGGGGGGCGTCAGTCCGGTTGCTTATCACCAGCAAGCAAGGTTTTTGAAACAAGCAGCGGGGGAGATTAGATAGAGAAGAGAGTCAGCCTTCCTTTGTTCCTCGAGCCGCCTGTTCAAGGGGGGGTTGCTTCAGCGCCACCCGCTCTCATCCTTTAGCCTTTCCTTGGGGATTGTCCTGCAAGTCGGGAGGCTTACTAGCAGCACCCAGGCACGCTGCAGGATAATCCCCAAGGGGTCAAGGCACGGGGGGAAGGAGTGCCTTGCCAGCCCCTCTGGCCGCATGTTACTTACTCACCCCATTCTCATCATGTCTACCTGGGCCCCGCATCCCTCTACCCCCTATCCCCACGTCATTTGCATCCCTGAATCCTTCTGTCTTTACTTGCTGTAGGTTCTTTTGAGTATAGCGCATTGACAAGAATCTTTCTGCGTCCTTTTGTCTGCCGTCCAGCCACCTTCTCTGCACCCTTCAGATTTTGATCTCTTTTTCCCCTTCATTCCAGATGCTTCTAGCCCAAGCAGCCCCTGGCTCCGTGTAAGGCCTCTCAGACTGTAAGAATCAGAGAATCTGCTAGCTGTAAGAAAAAGGACAGATTGCCTAGCATGTGCTCATAATCATAAAGCCTTCCTCGTGTCTGATCTTGATGTGGTTATCATAGACATGTGTGGCCAGCGCCGCTTTGGTCCTGCCGGCCATAGCATATGGATGAATGCATCGTCAGATAGCGGTGTCGTGATGGGCATTTCATATGAATGCATCCAGTGTCTGGCCATAGCACACAGATGCATGGATTGTCCGATGGTGCTGTCATGATGGGCATTTCATATGAATCTATGCATTGTCAGATGATGGCCATCTCAGATTGTTAGGCGGGAGAGAAAAAAAACTCTTGTGCGTTCTTTTATTTTGAACCTTGGATGTTTTTTTCTTTTCTATTTTTTTGAAACTGGTTTGGTATATTGCCGAGGCAGCATGTGTGTCCAAAGATTTGGTGGACATATAAGGCAGTGTCTTCTTATCCTATACTGCTGAATAGGGTAGGGCAGCCTCTTTTTGTCCTGATACTGGTGAATAGGGAAGGGTGTTTGGGAATATCAGCCACAAAACATTCGGAGGGTGAGAGGTTTTAGGTAGGGGACTGTCAATAGGTGAATCGATGGCACTGCATGGCCCACTGGTCTTCTTTGTCTGTTTGATGTCTGCTATTCATGGCTTTGTGTTTGTTGTCTGCTGTTGGAGGCCCACTTTTTTTTTTTTTTTTGGTTAATTCCCTGTGTACAGACGCAGGGGGCATGTGCTGTGGGTGCGATTCCCGTTTTCTGTGTTTACAGAGCCCATGGCTAGAGTGGTGGGGCCCAGGGTGCTTTATGCAGTAGTAGTTGTAGTCCAGAGAGCTGTGGGGTCCAGGGTACTTTGAGCAGCAGTAGTTGTGCTTTGGGTATCATGGAAGGTATAAGGTCGTGCCCAGGTCGTGCCATGGGTATATGCTGTTGGTTGTTTTCATTTCAGGCAGGGACATTTACAGGTGTGGAATCAAAAAGTATGTGGCACGGGGTGTGAAATTCTTTTGGGCTGTTGATTTGGAGCACATGATAGGAGGTCAGGGTGCTTGCTTTTAGAAAGTGGCATGGAATCCTCAGGGATAGTCCTAGATCTGTGTTTTTGACTCCCCCTTCTGTTAGGGAAACGGGGTGTGTCTAGTGATCCTTTACATTGTGCAAGCGCAGGCTCAGTGAATGGATTTGTGGCACCTCCCTCTCAACCACACAGATGCGGGGAGCCGTGCACCCTACCGGAAGTGCTTCTCTAATGTGGGATGTAGTTTATATCGAGTGGGGGTGGGTTCGTATTGGGTGGGGGTGGGGTCGGTCTTGGGTGGGGGTGGGGTTTATATTGAGGTAGGGGCGGGTTTATATTGGTGCTCTCCTGACAACACACACACACACACACACACACACACACACACACACACACACACACACACACACACACACCAAACACGTGGGAGCCATGTTGCCTGTGGCATTGATCTGTGCTGCGCCATTTGACACAGTGACTGTAACTGTGAGAATTGGATGTGGTGCTTCCACAGGCCACACCCAAACTGTTTCTTTCTGGTCTGTAGGGTGGTCACTTACCATAGTAAGAAATGCCTGCACCTGAGCTCATTTTTCTCCGCAACCCACTTCTCAAGTTTCATCCCAGCTCTCCTCTTCCTCACTCCTCCGCTCTCCTCAACTGTTGTCCTCTTTGCTGAGGACAGTGGAGGAAGGAAACAAAGTGGATAGATAAGAGGAAGAAGCATAAAAAGAAGATCAACACTACTGTGCGTTGGTTGGGGATAGAGAATATAAAGAAGGAGAAAAAGAAAAGCAACAGTATTGTGCATTGGTAACTTTTCTTTTCCTTCGTTTTCTGCTTCATTCTGGAAGGGATGCTATAAAAAACCTGTGGTTCAGCATATTGGACCTGTGATGTTTGTTTTTTTGCTATTGGCTCTTTGACTGGATTGTCCAAATTCTTAAAGAGGATCTGGGTCTGGATACTGACATGCGTCCCGCTGTGTGTGCATGCTCTTGTCCCTTTTGTTCGCCTTTGCTTTTTTCCTCCACATCGTTCTTCTTCTTCTTCTCCTTTTCCTATCTTTACCTCTAAACTTCCTGTTGTCATTCTCTGGTGTGACAGCACAAGCAAGCCTGTGTGGAAGTCGGTAAGAACTGGCAACTGTGACTCTGTCTGTCTGTCTGTCTGTCTGTCTGTCCGTCCGTCCGTGTGTCCGTGTGTGTGTCTCTGTGTGT